AACACACTGGTGCCAGTCTATGGCAAAGCCCGCTGGGCAACCATCTCTAAATACCAGGGGCCAGAACGTCGGGGCCCGGAGCTTTCTAACGCTGCATCCTTTGCCACTTCAGGTAGAAATAGTCCTTACTTTACATCTTGTGAAAAATCTTTACCTTTTGCAATGACTGGTAGGAAGTAGAGTACCCTAGCTACGGCTCAGACTGTGGCCTGAATTTGAAGTCTTTGTGAGCAAGAAAGAAGTTCCTCATTGGCTATTTCAACCATTTGTCCAAAGATAAAAGTCACACTGTATACTTATGGAAATCTAGATTAAAAAAACATAGTTTAGGGGCGCCTGGGTGGTTCAGTCGTTAAGCATCTGCCTTCTGCTCAGGTTATGATCCCAGGGTCCTGGGATCCAGCCCCGCTTAGGGTTCCCTGCTCAGTGGAGAGCCTGTTTCTCCCTCTACTGCCCAACCCCCCACATCCCCCACACCCCCCCGCTCGTGTGGTCTCTCTCTGTCTCTCAAATAAATAAAATCTTTTTCAAAAAAACACAGTTGGTATAGATTAAAAAGATCTCTTACACAAGCTTTCTAACTCTTTCAGGTCCCCTGATTCCTGAAGAGAGCAAGGAGATGGTTCAGGAACTTCCTGATTCTGGAGCCCTCATGCTAGTCCCCAATTGCCAGCTGACTGCTGAGTATTTTGAGAAAACTTGGTTTAGCCTGAAAGTTGCTCATCAGCAGGTGTTCCCTTGGCGGGGAGCCGTCCATTCCGACACCCTCCAGATGGCCCTACAAGTAGTGAACATCCAGACCATCGCAATGAGCAGGGCTGGGGCTCAGCCGTGGAAAGCCTACCTCAGTGCCCAGGATGACACTGGCTGCCTGTTCCTAACAGAACTGCTCTTGGAGTCCGAGAACTCCGAAATGCAGATCTCTGTGAAACAAAATGAGCCAAGGACCGAGACACTGAATAGTTTTATTTCTGTATTAGAAACTGTGCTTGGGACAATTGGAGACATAAAATCATAACAGATTCTTGCCGCTTGTCCTAGGTGAGATGAGTAGCTATCAGAATTGCTAGTTGTTTTTTTTTTTATTAGAATTTGCTTTTAAATCCAGATGCTATCAAATACAAACAAGAATGGACAATCTCAGAATCAGGATTTTTATGTTTTTGTCCAAAGACTATTGACTTAGTCCTCTCATACCTATAGGTGAATGACCCCATTTTCTAGGTGATGTCGAAAAGTTAATGTTGGTAAGGGGATGGGGAGGGACTGAGGATAGGATTTGGATTCTTTTCTAATCCATTATAGGGATTGTTTTACTAAAGATGCCTGATGTTTATGGAAACTGACAAAGTCATCATTTGTGGGGATCATCTTTTCTTCCCTGTATTACTGCAATAAATTCCTCACTGGTCTCCTGTTTCTAATCATGCTTTTCAAGGACAGAGTCTAAAGTCTTTAGTGCGGCGTCAGAGGTAACTCTTCAGTGTCCTGTCTCACCACTCGCCCGAACACCCTGTTCTTGTATTGGCAAACGACTTGGCCTTCCTGGAATGCACAAGGCTCTCTCTCACCTCTGTGCTTTGCTCCTGCTTTTATTGCTTGGCTAGAACGTTTCCTCACCCTCATATCTTCTTTCTTTAGGCAGCATCTAGTCCTTGTCTCTCAGCGTTCTGCTCAGTCACGAGCTCTTGCAGGAAGTTTTCTGTGACCCTTATTGCTTTCATTACAGGTTCTGTCAGGCTGTCAAGGCCTCCAGTGCGTGTGTCTAGCAGGACAGTTGTAATTGTTTTCTGTCATTCTTCCTTGCTTTCAGTTTTATTCATACCTGCCCACATTTTCTACATTAACTGAGGCAACTTATGGTGAGAGCAGATGCCATAGGATGGCTTAAAGTATAAATAGTAAAGTATAAATAACCAGAGGATCCACAACAGGGAAGATGAAAATACCATCTCAGACCAGCTTAGTTAGGGATGGTACACAAATGTTCAGGCTTAAGGGCTGACATAATTGGTACAGTTGAGCCTCAAATTTAGCTCTAAGTGATTTGGCTGAGTGAAGAGAAATAGGTATAAAGTCGTCATTAGAGAGGAAAAGACTTTCTAATATTAATTTCCAAAAGAAATTTACGTGTAGTTTCACATAGGTGACACGGGGAAAAGTACAAGATTCTTATGGGAAGTCAGTAATGGGTTTCTTATCACTTATGGTGTTCTTCAGTGAAAGCAGAGAGCATGACTTTAACATGGACCTTAGTGGGCACATTTCTTCAAGGACTTAAGATAACACAATCTAAATATCTAGCTTAATTCAAGGACTTCTACCACGTAGATACATAAATGGACTGCATACCTTTAAGTTTTTCAGCCATCATTTCTCTCAACTAGGCTCTTAATAAGAGTAAGTAATAGACGGTATTGATTTTTCTGGCAAGGGCCTGGGTTTTGTGCGTTGTTTTCCCCCCTGGACAATTTCTAAGGATGGTGATGTTTTTCCTTCCATCTCTACAGTCTGCCATATAATGATGACTCAGTAAATATTTACCAAATGAATGGCTGTCAATAATTAGATTTGATGGTGTTTTGGGATTGGTGTTTGTAGAAATTTTTTTTTTTTTTAAAGATTTTATTTATTTATTTGAGAGAGAGGCAGTGAGAGAGAGCATGAACGAGGAGAAGGTAGGAGGGAGAAGCAGACTCCCCATGGAGCTGGGAGCCCGATGCGGGACTCGATCCCGGGACTCTGGGATCATGACCTGAGCCGAAGGCAGTCGTCCAACCAACTGAGCCACCCAGGCGTCCCTGGGATTGGTGTTTGAAGTGTGTTTTGTTATATTGTATCAACCAAACAATAGTGGAAGTCCATCTAGACTGGGGTTTCTCATAAGCAGCATTACTGACATTGGGTCCAGATGATTCTTTGTATGGAGGGTTTTCCTGTGGTCTGTAGAATGATTATCAGCAGCATCTTTGGCCTATACCCACTAGATGCCAATAGAACCCCCAGTGGTAACAAAAATGCCCAGACATTGCCAAAGGTGCCTTGGTGGGACAAAATCGCTCCCCACTGAGAAGGATCTAGATCATGGGTTCCCACGATTACATGTAGAGAGATCAGAACGGTTTCAGAATTGCCTTTTCCATAGTTCGATTTGTTTGGTTAAACCGTGACCGTTTAATTACATACTAAAAGAAAGGAAATGGAAGTGAAAAGTGCTGCCAGTTTACAGCGTTATAAAGGAACAGGATATAAACGGTAGAGATTAAGTAAAATTATTTACTTCTTTAAAAATTAAAGGCTATAATTGAAATGTTGATCTAAAGAAAATTAGTAATGGCTCAATAATTGAACAAATGTTACCAAAATGATCCCATTTATTGGAGCTTTTAAAAGATTAAGTCCTACTTGGTCATTTGTCTGTAATGTGTGGGGCATAGCCAAATATGAGACTGTTGCTTTTGGAAAGTGTACTTTTAAAATGGTCTGAAGGAGGAAATTATTTCTTTTAACTGTAGCCTGGTTTTGCTAATTTATAAGCAAAATGACTAAAGCTTACGTATACCATGAAGTTAATTATATTTCTTCTCCCTAGGAGCTCTCTCTAGCCTTGGCAGACATATGGTTTGATGATGTGATGTAAGTAGATGCATATTTTTAAAATCCTTGAGGGTAGTTGATATTGTGCTTTTAGAAAAATGACTTTTTAATGTCTGGGTTAGGAAATAGTATGTGACATGTGTAATGAATGGTGCTTTAAAACTTTGCAGAGGCAATCATTTGTGTAGTTCCTGACCTTAATCTTACTGCCATGGACTAGTGGCTGTTAAATGCTTCCATTTCCCCCATACCCCTTTTTGAATGGGAGTTCTGTAACCATTATTCTCTCCCTTTCTCATATATTGGGTGTTTGGGGAGGGGAGACAAATAACTTATTTTCTCAGTTACAGATTTACACATTGAGAGGAGCAGTATCCAAGGATCCTCATTCACAGGCAGACCTGGGGCAGATGACAAGACTCTAGACTTTGAGCCAATGAAAAAAGGTGATGAGGCTTTTGAGAGAGGGATGTAAATTGTGGCCAGGGCAGCAAAAGAAGCAAGTGATGGTGAAAACACTGTGGCTTCATTTTTTGGTACTACCTGGGAGATAGTACTTGAACTGCAAGAGTGAAGGGGATGTGAGCTGTGGAAGAAGGAATGGGGTGGTTCGGGAAGACCCTATAATGAAGGCTCCAGAAGAAATACACAAAGGAGGAAACTACCCCATATTGCCCAGGAGAAGATATACTCCTTACAACATTGCTTCCACAAGATAATGCAAAGGATAGATAAGATAATGCAAAGATTAGATTCCGAAGATGGCATTTGCCCATAAGCACATCAGCTGTGAAACAAATTACTGTGGGAAAAGGTTTATTATTTGAGGTAGGATGGGCTTGCTTTTAAATTTCTTTGCTGCCATTTACTGATGCCACTTACCTTGGGTATTTAACACCAGCTGGATGGTATCTTATAAACCTTTCATTTGTTTTCGTATGCACTTGGGGAATATGTCAAATTAATTTGTTAGAATCCTTAAATTTTTAGTAACCCACTCTAGTGTGAAAGGATGATGGCTCAGAATTCTCTCAGAAGGATCTTCTTCTGTCAGGTCTAAAGCTTACTCAGCAGAACCTGGTTTCAGCCCTAGTGATAGACGACAAATGAAAACGGCCCTTTATGTAATTTCTGTTTCTCATCCAAAAGCAGTTTATAATCATTTGTTTTTAAAACAGAATAGAAAACAGAAGATTGGCTCTTTTTATTTTGCAAGTAGGACTTTCTTTCTGAACAACCCGGCTTACTGCTTATGCTTGAATTCCTTATCAGCTCACCAGGTCAGAATACCCTGGAAGAGCTGAGTTTTGACACCCAAATCCCAGACTTAGATGTGGCTTCATTAAGAAGGCAGCCACTGTGGGTAAGTGTCAGTCAGGAGATCTCATAAAAACAGGATGGAGTCTAACGCCTGTTAGAAATATCTTACTTAATTCTCTTGGAGAACAAATCCCAGATTCCTTTCATCCTGGTCCTCAGGCCTTGGGCTAAGAGGAAAGACATTTAACGCTTACTACATGTCAGAAACTGCTGGATCATCCCACATAACATTGTCTTACTTAATCCTCATATAATTTCCTTGTGAAATACTTTGTATTATCCCCATTCTTAATTCCTCAAATGCCCAAGTTTTTTCCCCCACCTTCTCAATTCTATATATCCTAGTCCCACCTGGAATGGTATTATTTCTCCTCTTTGCCTCATAATCCCTCCTTGTACTTTAGAGCTCATCTCAGATGTTAACAACTCCAAGGAAGCCTTCCTAACCCCCTAGGTCTGATTCCCCATTGCACAATGTAATCACACACTATCTCAATAAGCACAAGAAATTATGGATTAATCATGTAATATCGGTTGTACATGCAAAAGCGTAAGCTCCTCGAGGACAGGAACTGTATCTGTGTCATTTTCCTGTGTTATTTGTAGTGCCAGGCATAGTTCCTTACCCATAGACACTCAGTACATAAAATGTCTGAATATGGCAAATAAATGCTGTCTATTAGAAGTTGAATGCTGTTCTATTATAACTCTGAAACTTTCTTTAAGTAACACCAGACTCAGAACCTAACAGGAAGTATTTCTAAATGAAATTGCCCAAGACACTCTTCCTCAACTCTATTTCAGTTCTAAATTGGCTAACAATAAAAGTTATTCATTAATCTTAAGTACTGGCTAGGGTGTGGTTCTGAGAAAAGGAACCGAAAGTTTTCAAAAAGTCTCCCCAGTTTGTGTAGGTGAGCTCTTCAGAGAAGTCCCATGTTTCTGACAGCTAGTTTTGAAAAAAAGTGGTAGGACACGCTCCAGGACTACATGTCCCATTAGGAGACTTTAGAAAGAACAGAGGTCGATGCTTCTAGTTTACCAGCAGTTCTGACTTCCTGCTGAGCTGAAACCTGCTTGTTTTGTGGAAAAGCAAAAACTCAGCAGCGAACATCTAAAATGAAGAGGCCCCGAACTTTTGAGGAGCAAACAGAATGCATCTTGAACACTTTACTCACAGACTTTTTAGGCACCCCAATGCAGGTTGCTAACCGGGACCTATGTTGTGGAGACGAACCAGATTCAGGTAAGACTCCTGGCCTGAGGTGCTGATTGCAGGTCAATAAGAGCATCTGAGTATGCTTTCTTATTGCCTCCTAAGTTTCAAAAGGCAAACTAAGCTTTCAGCAATACCTGAAAATCAGTAGTTTCCATGGAAGGGAAAGATATTCTCAGTGAAGGGAGATTTTCTGACTATGGGGTTGAAAGGATATCAAAGGTGCTCTTGGGAGAGATCGATGCCACAGTTGTTTGAAAGTCTAGAAAGTGTTCTCCAATGCCCAGATTCCTGGGACTGGCCGTCCCTTCAAGTTGTATAATGCATGTGAATGTGTTCCTCCATCTTAGGAGATCCTTGCTCTTTTGACGTGGCCATCATTGCTGGTCGCCTTCGGATGTTGGGTGACCAGTTCAATGGAGAATTGGAAGCTTCTGCCAAAAATGTCATTGAAGAAACCAGTCGTGGACGGGTAAAGTTGCTGCAGTTTTTCTGTTCCAGATGCTACTTTCTTACCACTCTTGTATGACTATAACTAGAAATGTCCTGCAAAAGATTTGGGGGTTTATATTCATCCAAGGAGACACAGCAGGAATTCTCCAGTTGCTGGTTGTTCAGGAGTTAATCAAAGGCCTAAGTGGTATTGAGAGGAAAATCTTCTGGCAAGGGCTGGTCAACCTTCAGATTGTTCCCATTTGTTTTTCAACAGAGCTGTACTTACATGACACGGAGCACATATGTAGCACTTTGTTCTTGGTAAAGCACTTTATTCTTTAATGCACCTATTTAATATTTATTTGGCTGGGAGTGGGTGTCTTCCTTCCCCCAACCCAAGGTCCAGCAATGAAATTATATATTGGAAAGGCAGGCAGTCCTCAAGTATGTTGTAATGAGTACTGACAGCCGCTACCTAGGGCATATCTGGCTTTTCATCAGAACGCTGATTACTAGCGGTGGCACTTGGAGGCTGCATTAGATGTAAAGACCACAGGCAGCATTCTAGAAGATGTTGCTGCTTGTTACCAATAATGGCAGGTAATACAAACTTAACAGGTGCCAGACAGTATTCCAAACACTTTTGCACTTAAACTATCTCATTTAAACCTTCCACCAGTCCCTGGGGTATTATAGGAACTGAAACTCAAAATGCAACCTCCCCTCCTGTTTGTGGAATGCCGTGAGAGCCAAAATCTGACCTCTTTGTTCACTGCAGTCTTCACACAACCCAGCATAGTACCTCCTATATGGGAGACCCTCCATACATGTTTTCCTGACTCGTTATCCATTTAAGCAGATAAGGAAACTGAGGAAGAGGGAAACAAGAAATTAGGTTACTGAGTGAGCGTTGAAGTTAGGATTTTAACCCAGACTGATTCCAGAACCACACTCTTCACCATTATGCTTTATTCTTCTTATGAAATATAGCTTGGATGGTGCGCCTATTCAGGCAGAACTGGACTTATTACTCCTAATTGCTTGCCCTGAAACTTTCCTAGGTAGCCAAGAGCTGAATTTACTTTTGTTTTTTAATTAAAAAACAAAACAAAACAAAACTTTTTTGGAACTTCCAAATTCATAGGAAAGTTGCACATAATTTGTACAAAGAATTTCCCTCTTGAATCATCTGAGAGTAGGTAGTTGATAAAATGTTCCATCATCCCCTAATACTTTCACATTTCCTTCAAATAAGGCCATTTTTATATAACCACATCAAAACCAGGAAATCAGCACTGACACATTATTATCTTGTCCTCAGATCCCATTCAAGTTTGGCCAGTTGTCCCAGTGATGTCACATACAACAAAAAGATCTAGGCCAGAGTCAGATCCTTCATTTAGTTGTCCTGTCTCTTCAATCCCCTTCAGTTTGGAATTGTTCCTCAGTCTTTCCTTGATTTTTCATGATCTTGGTGCTTGAAGATTATGGGTCAGTCATTTTGTAGAATGTCCCTTAAACTTGGGTTTGTTTCATGTTTCCTCTTGAGTGGATTCAGGGTATGTACTTTTGGTAGGGAGGTCACAGAAGGGTTGCTGTGTTCTTCTCATTGCACCTTTTAAGTGGCACAGATTTTAATTTGTCCCATTACTGATGTTAACTTCAGTCACTTAGGATAGTGTCTGCAAGGCTTCTCCACTGTAGTTAATATCTGTGGTTAATATAGTTAAGTGTTGTGGGGGGACTTTGAAACTATGTAAATATCCCCTATCTCATCAACATTTCAATCTGTTCATTTATTTTGTATATAAACATGGACTCATGAATTCCTGTGTTATTCAAGGGGTATAACCTGTTACTGTCATTATTATTTGGATGCTCAAATTGTCTTAGCTTTGACCAGTGGGTGTCCTCACCACCTGGACTGTGTCTTTTCAGTACGTCCCTGTCATTCTGTGAGTACTTCCTTAATTTCTGACAGCTCTCTTGTATTTTCCAAGCTGCAGCCTGCAATCAGCCTTTTTCCAGGGAGCTCTGGTATCTTTAAATGGAGAATGATATTTGGAAACCAAGATCTGGGTACATATGTGGATGCCCTCTGCAGCTTATTTGGGTTCTGACAACTGCTCTGACTACCAAGGGTCCCCCCTACACTATACCACAGTAGATATTGCTTGGCCCCACCTAATGACTTTTGGATCAGTTCTGAGGGGAAGGAAACAGGAGGAGGAAAAACAATTTTTTTTTTAACTTTAGAATTTCACAGACTTCAATCATTCAAGTAATACCTCTACAACTCGACCAGCTGTACTATTGTGTACTTAATATTTTACTTTCAAATAACTTTTTACTTTCGGCCCTTTTTGCATGTCTTAAATAATAATATCTGAAATTATGTGTTTGATGGGCTACTTATGTTTTCTCTGTACACGTTACAATAAATAACAAAATAACACTCCTTAAGATTACCCCAGATATGATCAGATACAATGTACTTGTCATTCTCTAGGAAACTCTTGTTCTACTGGACGCCTGCCCCTGCAGTCTCCTGTACCTTTATATCAACACTTCACTGATATCCCGTGTCTCTCTCCAGGCAGGAGCTGCACTTCAGGACACAGTCAAAAGTCTTAGTCAGGCTTGGTGTGCTCAGGATTCCAGCTTAGCTTATGAGAGAGCCTTTCTGGCAGTGTCAGTGAAGCTTCTTCAATACGTGGCCCACATCGCTCCCGAAATGGCAAGACAGGTCGTTGTCTCCATGACAAGCATGATCAATGGGAACAGTGCCATCCAAGAGTTTGTCCAGGGCCAGGGAGGTTGGGTAAGTATGTCGAGGCCCCTGGCTTTGATAGGCATTTGCACTGTTTTTGTACTAATACCCAGGACTCCCAATGCCTGATTCTTTTTGTAAGTTGGAAACCAAGTAGAAGAACAGGTCTCCCTACTTTGCTGAAAATGGCAGTTTGTTGTTTTGTTTTGCTTTGTTTTTCCCCATGCGAAGGGGAGCAGTCAGAAGCTCAGGACTCTAGGTGTTGGACTCCAGAGATACTTTGCCTAAAATTTTAGTTGACTCCTAACAGTGTAAAGCTAAATCCCGCTTCCTATATATTACGGCCTGTTAAGTATACTGGTGATAGAGTACTAGCCTCAGCCCCGCTTCAGAAATTCAGAATCATCCCCTGTCATCTCACAACAAACAGTGCTATCTGCTGCTGTGGTAACTATAGGAGGCATTCTAAGCCCATGTCTTAGTCATCATTAGAACATCTGCTCTCGCTGAGCATTCCTCTTCATTTCCAGCAGCAGCAGACGCCTCAGTAAGAGCTGCACCCCCTGGAGGTGTCTGCAGATTATTTGTGCTTTCTTTAGGATGCTCCCTTTACAAAGAAGTCCCTTTGACTGTAGGCTCTTCCCTGTCCTTCCTAGGAGAACCTGGAGAGCTGACTACGAAGCGGTGGCGCTGTTTCCTAGCTTCAACATCACTGCCACTTTGATGGAGGGATTGATTGCTGGCCATTAAAACAGACAACCAGGGGTACCTGGGTGACTCAGTTGTAAAACGTCTGCCTTTGGCTCAGGTCATGATCCCAGGACCCTGGGATCAAGCCCTGCATCGGGCTCCCTGCAACCCTATTCCCACTCCCCTTGCTTGTGCTATCTTGCTGTGTCTCTCTCTGTCAAATAAAAAAATTTAAAAAATCTTTAAAGAACAAAACAGACAACCAAATCCAAAGCTGCTTTCCTTTGGACACAACTGGACTTAGCTGAATAATTGCTTTTCCACCAATTGCTAAAGTTGGGAGCAGCCCTCAGAGGTCTACAGAGATTTTGTACTTTCTGTCTTTACGTGAATTTGGAGGAGTTTCCATTTAAGCCAAGACCTCCAGATACAAAGTAATGGTTTGTTAGGAGGAAATTTCAAGGCGACAGAGCAGGCCTCTGCTGGGCATATTTTGGGAAAGGGAACACACGGTAAACTATTAATTCAGATTGAGCCCTGTCCTTTGGTAAGGATCTTGTCTATTTATGTTGTAGTCTAAATGACTTCAAGGGAGATTTTTGTTGAAATCTTGTTATAAATTGAGGATTTTCTTTTAAATTCCTATCCTTAGTTTTGTGTTAATTTCACCAAAGCAAAATCATTTTATGCATTTTTAGGTTGAAAGCAAAAAAAAAAAAAAAAAAAAAAAAAGCAGTTTCCTCATCTGCCCTTCTAAGAGAAAGGCCAACAGAAGATAAAACAGTGCGTTTTTACTGCCACAGGATGCAGGAAGTGCTGGCCCACATCTAGGACAGTGGGGCCATCCCAGCTTAGATGAAACTAGCTGCATACCACAGTGTTTTTCAAACCAAAAAGTGCTTTACATATCACTTGTGGACCTTATGAATTGCTGATTTCCAGGCCCCATCCCTAGAGATTCTGATTCTGTAGGGTGAGGCTGGGGCCTAGGAGCCAACCCTTTTAGCCAGTTCCACAGGGCATTCTTATGTCCATATAGGACTTGAGCACACTCACGTTAGAACAGGGGCCGGCCAAATCGTGCCTGCTGCTTTTTGTGTCCACAGGTTTATCAGCAAGCAGCCGCACTCACTTGTTTCTGTGTTGCCCATGCCTGTATTAGCACTTCAGTGGCACAGCTGAGGAATTGCAGCAGATCCCTAATGGCCTATAAAATGTATTTACTATCTGGCCCTTACAGAAAGGCATGTAGACCCCTGCTTTAAAGCTAAAAGCTAAATGAACATTTCTCTTCAAAGAATTTAAATTCTGTTGCAACCCCGATCATTCGTGCCAAACACAATGGTACACAGGACAAATCTTTTTTTTTATTTTTTAAGAATTTAAGAGTGTTTGTCAGTTCCTACATAGTCCACACTTTCTTGAGCTCTTTGGCAAATCAGAAAGCTCCGGGACCCCTGGATAGTCAGTCAGTAGAGGGTCTACATTTCCCCAGCCCCTACCTTAAGTGATTGGAAGTGAAGCCTGTGGTATCTGCAAGTGTATCTTGTAGTAATCCTTCATAATCTCATAGATTAGTAGGCAGTCATCACATAGAGACTCTTACATTCATAAACCCCAAGGCTAGACTACTTAGTGGATTGTCAAGAAGAAAAGCATTGCTATATCTATTTTTAAAGAGAGACATTAATGGTTTGGTTACAGTTTGGCTCAAGTGTAACCACATCCCCTCGCTCCAGCAACCAGCTATCTGTTTCCCCTAAATGCATAGAAATAAATATGTAGCACTGCTGCTATATTTTGACTTTATCAAGTTATGCTATTTCCTCTCTTCATGGGCAAATCACAATAGGTTAGTAATCCCAAATGAGATTTCATGTTTCTCTTAAGTAGAAATTAGCCTTTTTTTTTTTTTTTTTTTTTGCTACCAAGTTTAGACACTCAGTGTATTCCTTTGTCCCTTACATTACTGTAAATTCAACATGGTAGGTTTTGTGGTATTTTACTTCTTGGGTGAAATCACTATTTTCACTTTGACCAATGCTGTTTTGTTCATGAAATAAAATTGTGTCTATGTATTTGAATTAATTCTCAGTAAATGCAATCTCAGTTGAATGATAGAGAAACAACAGATTGGTGGTTGTCAGGGGCAGGGGTTGGGAGGTAGGAGAAATAGGTGAAGGAGGGTAAAGGGTATATAACCTTCCAGTTATAAGATGAAGAAGGTCTGGGGATGTGATACACAGCATGGTGACTGTAATTAACAATATCGTATCATATGTTGAAAAGTTGCTTAAAAAGTAGATTTTTAAAGTTCTCACCACACACACACACACACACACACACACACCCCTCTCACATTATTTATTTTTTTATTTATATATTTTTTATAAGTAGTGTATACACCCAACAGGGGACTCAAACTCACAATCCCAAGATCAAGAGGCACAAGTTCCACTGACAGAACCAGCCAGATGCCCCAAAACAAATTGTTTAGCTAGGCGAGGTGATAGATGTATTAACCAACCTTATTGTGGTAATCACTTCAAAATACATCCATAGAGCAAATCATTATGTTGTATGCCTTAAATTTATTATACAAGTTATATGTCTGTTATATCTCAATAAGCTGACAAAGTAAATGACAAACGTCAGAGGCCAGCAGCTACCTCTTTGTCTTTTCTTTTCCCACTTCCCTGTTTTATTCTATACTGCCAATGAAACGTCAGAATATGAATCTGGCTCCAAGTATTTTGAGATTAAGGGTATCGTGCCCTTGGGGATTATACCAAGTGAATAGGAAAATCACCCTCTCCTAGGAGGGCTGAAGTGGTGGGGTGGCAGAAAGAAAACACATAGCCCAGAGATTCCGGATACCTTCAGACCGTCTGATTTTAACAATTTAGTTTCACCATAGACTAATCACGTGACACTGGGCCAGTAATCCAATTCCTTTGTGCCTTAGTTTCCACATTCTAAAAGAGAAATGATTTGGTTACTAATTCGTAGGATTGTGGTGAGAGATAAATTAAACGATACACTGTGGGAAGGGCTTAGCCCAGTTTCTGGACTGTTTTTGAGAACTGCACCATTAACAGTTTGGGGCTGCTGTGATTTGGGGCTCATAAAATTCTGCCTTGACTTTTTTCTCTCCATTGACACTGTCTCTCACAAAGGCAAGCCAGCCTTCTGGCTTTACCTCTCGCCTCAATGTGGGTGATTCCCATATCTGACTTATTTCCCTTCTTCCTAAATCTACATCCACAAGCTCTAACTCTTCATGTCTATGTACCTTTCTTATCCCCTATACTTTCCCAGACGGCCATCCAGCTAGCTCGAAAGCTTAGTCATGTTTCCCTGTTCCCTCTGTCCAGTCTTACACACACAATTAGTCTTCCTCACTTATTCTTTCTTTTTGTTGTAATTCTCTCACAAGAGTTTATTGCCAAGCCTCTTAGTCAGGCTGTTAATGGATCATTCTGTTCCAGGCTCGCCCCACACCAGTCTGTCCTATATACTGCCACCAGATTCACCAAAGCTATGGTTTCCTTGTCTATTCTTTTGATCTATTTTTAGATACGACATAATTCATTTTGAAAATTTATATACTACCGAAGGAGGTGAGGAGACTTCCAAAAAAATTATCAGAAGGGACCATTTCTTTAAAAAAAGATATTGAGAAACATTGCTTTGACTGCCGTTTTCTTAAGATTTTCCAGTGGAAATGTTGAAGGTGATTGGATAAGTTCCTTATCCTGATTGTGATGATGGTTTCATGGCTGTGTACACATTTCAAACTTATCAAACCACACACTTTGAAATGTGCAGTTTATTATATGTCAGTAGTACCTCATAAAGTTATTACTAAAACAAACAAACAAACAAAACCTTCACTGCTTTTCCACTGCCCATCAAATAAAGCCTGACTTTTCAACATGGTATTCAAATTCCCTCAGGGTCTGTCTCCAACTGCCCTTTCTAGCCTTGTCAGTCAGGATTCTTCAGAACCAAGGCTCCCATCAGACTGAGCCACTCAATAGGCCACCCAACTCCTACTGGTCTTTCTCTCTTTCATAATGCTTCTTCTCAGGCTCTTTGACATATTCAAGGCCTAACTCAAACGCTGCTTCCTCTATGAAGGCTATCCAGATAACCTGAACACAAGATCTTTAACTCCTCAAAATTTTGTTAGCATAACATTTATGGCCTTACCACATATGGCCTTCAGTTATAGTTATTTGTATACTTAGCTTCCTTACAAGTATAAAAGAGCCTTGAATGAAGACAATTTGTTGTACACATATGTAGTGCCCCTTGTCCCCATTCTCTTGCATGTATATAGATCTCATAAGTATTCATTAAATAAATAGACTCAATAAACAATCAAACGAAAGATAAACATCAAGTTTGATTAGATTTTGAACAAGGTACCAAGCCCAAGAGTTTAAAAAAAAAAAAAGGTAAATTGCATCAATTGAAAATCATCAGTGGACTTTTGCCCTCTGAGGATTGCGTTTCTGAAACTGAAGGCAGAGCATGATTTCCTGTGGAATGTGGGGAGGTAACTATGAAGTTCACAGCAGCTGAACTGAAGAGCTTGATGAGGTCTCGGAATCCTGTAGTGACCAGAAGCTATCATGACCAGAAGCTGGGGAGGGGATTTTCCTGCTGTGGGTGAGGTAAAAACACAAAGCAACAAGCTTCTTGAGTAAGCCTCACCCATGTCCTTTTACAGAAGGGGAACTGGATCTATCTTGGAGAGGAAGGAGGTAATTTCTTCCCCAGCCATGGCAGCCCTGCAGGACTGAACTCTTGCCTCAGAGATGGCAGCCCCATTCCTTCCATAACAATGGCCCCCCGCTGCTGGGCAGCAGCCCTCAGGCAAGTGCTCTTTGCCAGGTTCCTGATGTCCCTGTAGGGAAGGCCCATCTGCTCCTGGCAAAGTGAAAGTGCCGGGCAGGAGACCTGGAGTCATTGTTGCAGTGAGTAAGCAAGTCGGGGTGGGTGTCCTACCAAGAGCCAACCACATTATGTGGCGTCCTTGATCACCATAGGCTTATTTCATGTGTGCTTAAGACCAGGGGTAAGCACTTAGGGTTACACAGACGCATATAGAAGACACTAGCATAAACTTAAAAGACCAGCGGGCCGTTTATGTG